TTGACAACATTCTGCAGGCAGTAGGTGGCTTTTTGGATGTGCACACCCTGATGGGCCAGGCAGTTTCTCAGTCTTCTTAAAGGAACATGAAAATTGAACTTCTTCATTCCCATGACTTTTAGGGTTCTCCAGGTCAAGTGAGTAGCAAACCGTTTTCAGAGCTCACCTAAGGCCACTTACAGGAAGAGGCAATGTTGGCTTCTGACTCCCTGGCCAGCGCACATCTCTACTCCACCAAGTGATGAATGGAGTAAGAAGTCAGAAGACCTATGGAAAGTGAAATGCAGCGAGGCCATCCTGAACTACTCGGGCAATCAAATACCTTCTCTTCACTGAGGGGATTCAGGCAGGATGCTTCAATCCCGAGCCAGGGGTAGCCTTGTTTTCTTTTTTTTTTTTTAAGATTTATTTATTTTTGCACACAAGAACTGGGGTATAGGCCAGAGGTGCAGGGGGTGAGAGACAGAGTGGGGAACAGAACAGGCGGACTGACTAAAATACACTGCTGAGGGGAGCAGCAGGGAGACAGGAGAGGTCTGTTGCGCCATGTGGGGTGCTCCCTGGCAGTGATTGAATTCATGCTGCAGTGGCTGGCAACAGCTTGACAGTACTGTGTCTTGACCCCTTGTGCCACCAGGGAGTTCCAGCCTCGTTTTCTTGCTGTCTAATAGCAGTGTGCTCTTCTACGTGGCCTCATTCCCAGGTCTCCCATCCAGCTTGTGAATCTCTGCTCTTTTCCATTCATCCAAACATTCCCAGCATCTTCCCTGTGCGAGGATAATGGGAAGAAAGACCGAACTGATTATTACTTAAAAAAACCTATTGACTTTCAAAAGAAAACACAAAAAACAAACAAACAAAAAAACCCAAAACCTATTGGCTTTCAAGTCATAAGACCTAAGTTTCAGTCCTGTCATCCACACTTGTTTGTTTTTGGGTCACAGCTAATGCATGTTTTATTCTTTGAAAGATTATGCAGATGTCAAGAATTGTTGTTGCCAATATTACCCTGTTTAAATTTCCAGATGAATTGCTACAAAGATGTGAAAGGCACCATCTACGATTATGACGCCATCACTCTTGATGGGAGGGAAAAAATTCAGTTCAAAGATTATTTTGGCAAGCATGTCCTTTTGTCAATGTGGCCACCTATTGTGGACTGACAGCTCAGTATCCTGGTAAGAATTCATGGACACATCACCAGTGACCTAGTGAGTTTTTGAATAATAAAGATGACTGGGCCCCATCTCTGAGAAGCAGAATCAGAAAATTCCCTGGAATCGGACCCGGGCATCCGTATTTATGAAGAAGGCCCCCAGTGGATCCTGTGTGCTGCAGACTTGGGAAAGACTATACTCTGATAAGAGCTTTTATATTTTTCAAAGATTTATTTATGCATTTATTTATGCCTGGGGAGCAGGCCAGAGGTGTGGGGGGCTAGAGGACCCACCAGAGTGAGTGGGGAGCAGAACAGGCAGATATACTGAAATGCACTGCTGAGGGAGCAGTGGGCGAGTCAGGAGAGGTCTGCTACGCCATGTGGGTTGCTCCCTGGCCGGGGATCGAACTTGTGCTGCAGTGGCTGCAGATAGCTTCATAGGTTGCATCTTAACTCCTTGCATGTCTGGGTATCTGGGATCTAACGTCAGCCCTGCCGCTAACAGCTTTCTTGACCTAAAGAGCTTTCCTTCTCTGTGTCTGTTTCCTCTTCTGCAAAATGAGCACCACCAGGGACTGCTTTCTGTACAAAGCAGTGAGTGTTTCTAGCCACACCACCATGTTGTTCCTTCTCTCCCCGCAGAGCTGAATGTGCTTCAGGATGAGCTGAGGTCCTTTGGTCTAGTAGTGTTGGGCTTTCCCTGCAATCAATTTGGCAAGCAGGAACCAGGAGAGAACTCAGAGATCCTTCCAGGGCTAAAGTAAGTGCCTGCTTGAAAGCTCAGAAGAGGCAGGGCCTATCTTCCCTTATTGCCACCTATCTGGGGGTGTTCTGTGTGGTTGGGCCGATGAGCTCAGCAGCATCTGTCTGCTGATTTTAACTTCTACCTCTGCCGAGTCTGGCAGTGTCCAGAGATTCTCCCTCTGCCCTGCAGTAAGACCTGGAGGGACGGTGGAGGACTAAGAGTACAGAAATAGCTGACATGAAAACAGTGTGGGGACAGGACAGGTGGGGGAATAAAGAAAAATTAAGTGAATAGGAGGGTGGGGCCCAAGGCCAAAAAAAAAAACCAAAACCCAAAATTGGCCTAATTTTCCCTTCCCAGCTCTGCCTACTATGTTTCTACAACATTTTTTTAAAAAAAGATTTATTTATGCATACAGGAACTGGGGTGTAGGCCAGAGGTGGGGGAGAGGGGAAGGGGAGTTTGTGTGAGAGAACTCCATCAGAGACAGTGTGGGGAGCAGAACAGGCAGATGTACTGAAATACACTGCTGAGGGGAGCAGCGGGGAGACAGGAGAGGTCTGCTGTGCCATGTGGGTATTTCCCTGGCCAGGGATCGAACTCATGCATGCTGCAGTAGCTGTGGATAGCTTCATAGTGCTGAGACTTAACCCCTTGTGCCACCAGGGAGGCCCCTAACTCCACAACTTTTTTGTCCTTTCCCCTAACCTCAGATCCTGAGGTCCCATCCTAACTTTCTCTCTTTATTCTGGAGCTTCTTTACAATATTATGGCTCATTGCAGGTATGTCCGTCCAGGGAGAGGATTTGTCCCAAATTTCCAGCTTTTTGAGAAAGGGAATGTGAATGGTGAAAAGGAACAAAAGGTCTTTACCTTCCTGAAGGTGAGTGAATTCCTGACATGAGTCTCTTCCCTGCTGCTGCTGCCATAGAGGGGTGTGGTAGAAATGGACCCAAAGGCTCAGGCCTGGGAAGGACTGGACTCTTCAGGAGAGACCTCCAAACACCACCGGGCCTGAGGTTTAGGCTGCTAGTGTCAGACTGTGGCTTTGTGTGGTGGGCAGAGTTGTGTGGAGTGGCAGCTTTTCCTGGCACCACACTCCACTCTTGTTCTTTGACATCTACATGTTCATTCAGGGCATGTTTCCCGGTGCCTGCCATCTGAAAGACAGTTTGTTAAATAATGAGGAAATTAAGATGAATAAGACACATCCCCACACCCTGATGAGTTCATACTAGAGAGGAAATAGAAATCAACAAGTATAGAGCAGCGTAGTAAGTGCCTTCTATGAATCACTGGCTTTCAGATGTAGAGATTGTGTGAGGATGTCTAGAGATCACCAGAGTACATAGTCTCTAAGTGCTGGACTGTGGGCCAAGCTGGCTCATGTTGAGATTTTTATATATCCTTAATAAATTGAAGAAAACAGGTCAGTGTCAGAAAGGTTTCATAAACTCACTTGCCCTTTTTTCTAAGATTAGGACTACTATGTAATTTGTCTTCCCATAACCTTTAAAAAAATTACATGATCAAGTGATGATGTTTTCAAATTTTTCCTTACTTGATAAAATAAAATGTTGGCAACCTTACATTGGTCTCAAAAGGTATGTTTTAAATGCTGCTGACCCAAAGAAACCTAAGACTTGGGGCACCACATTAGAATTACTTTGCAGAGAAGGAAACGAACAGCAAGAGAAGTGACCTGTCTTCCCCACAGCGGCATGGTTTTGTGATGGGGCCTGTGGAGAGACAGAGAGGGAGCAGACTTTGACTACACTGCCTGTGGCATGCTAGTGCATTAATGGAGTGGTAATGCAGAGAACTGACTAAGAATCACAGGAAGCTGAATTATCTAGGTCCAGGGAGGAGAGGGTTACCTGTGGGTGAAAATAGCCCACATCACCCAGGGATGGAAATGATGTTGCTTCTCCTTGTCATCTTTCTGTTCCAGCACGCCTGTCCTCACCCCTCGGAGTTTTTGGGCATGTTAAAACACATAACCTGGGAACCTGTAAAGGTCCATGACATCCGCTGGAATTTTGAAAAGTTCCTGGTGGGGCCTGATGGCGTCCCTGTCATGCGCTGGTCTCACCTGACTACCGTCGGCTCTGTGAAGGCAGACATCCTGGCCTACCTGAAGCAGTTCAAAGTGAAGTAGGAAGGCTGAATGGGGGTGTGGGCCATGCAGCCTCTTGCCTGAAGGCTTGTTCAAAGCAGCCCATCTTCTCACCACCACCTCTTCCCACATCCAAATGGCCTCCACTGGACCAAATCACCTCTCTGCTGTCGAAGTTCCCACTTCCTCCCACATAGACCTGTTCGAAAGCTCCTGCCACTTCTCCTTACAAGAGAATGTGGATGAAGAACAAAAGAATGGAAATCCTAAATCCTCAGACCTCGTTAAACATTTAATGGCTCCAGTCCATCAAAGGAAAACCATGTCAGCAGCTCCTGAAAATGTCCCCAGACTTCCTGACTCCCCCTCCTTTCTCTCTCTACCTTGCAGGTGTAGACACAGCAACAGGAAGGTCATCGCACAACTTACGTTCCACTTTATAACACGCCTCCATCCCCAGGACAAACGCATGCGTCATTTTCCAACTCTTTTCAGCTCAGTGTTGGCCGAGGACACCCCTCCTGGAAAGCCCTTGTCAATGCCATGCCCCTGCAGGAGCCCCAAGGTAGAGTGGACGCAGGAAAGCACCTCACGTGAAGTAAGGGCATCTCTGTCATAGTGGGGCCCAGAGCCCCTCTGATTTGGAGTCTGAAAGCTGTCCCTGCTGTTTGATGCTCAGTGCTCTGAGGTCATGATGCCTGGCAGGGCCGCTTTCCCTCTCTACCCAAGACTCCTCGTGTCAGAACCAGCCTTGCCACTGTTGCCAATAAAATAATTTCTGCAGCATCTGGGATCATTGGTGCTTTTCAAATCCTACCCTGTTCCTGCTCCCATCATCTCTTCTCCTCTTTCTCACTGTGACTGTCACAGCGGGGGCATCACCCAAATTACTTGAAACTCTTGGACAGAAAATTTCCTCCCAGAATCTTGAAAGGTGGTCACCTGATGAGTTGCTGTTGTCATCCCCTTTTAGGAAGTGCCTCATTAATTCATGACCCTGTCCACGGGCAGGCTACAGTCAATGACTGGCCAATACGGTGGGTAAAGGCCAAACTCTGACTTCTCAATTTAGAACAGCTTTAAAGGGCTCATCCCAGAGGCAGAGACCCCCAAGTTAGCTGATGGCTTTGGTACTTGTAAAATTTGCAGCCAAGATTTTCCCTCTGATACATTATGCTTATCTTCTTTGCCTCACACATATTGACCCTCAGATAAATTTCCTGGATGCAAATCTCCAACTTAGAGTCTTTCCAGGGTACTCAACCCACAATAGTTGGTACAAAAGTGATCTGAGAAAGAGGCTAAAATGAAATGTTTGAAGCTAAATTACCCTCAGTGAGGAATGGGCGAGTGCAATTTGTCACTGGCACAAAGTAGTAGGGTAATTGGTAAAACCTTCACAGAGATTGTTCAAATCTGACTTGAGATGGTCCGCTGGTAGAAGGATTTACACTGGCAAATATGATCTGTTAGGTACTTGAGGAAAAGAGGAGAAACAATAATTATATGAGGTGGTAGATTTGGATGGTTGTGACTAGAGGAAATTGATGCCTTGGAAAGAGACCACTGAAGGCTGGGGATGATACTTCTTCCAGTACACATTAACTGTGAAAGCCAGAATGCCTCTGCAGGCCCTCATAAGGAACCACTCATATCTTGCAACTTAAGGCACAAAGAAATAAATTCAGGTCTTGCCTTAATCGCAGGGACGGTATTGGTAGAACACCAAAGAAGGTCAAATTCCCAGCATAGGTCATCTCGGTCGTGGCTCTGATGGGGAAAGAACAGAGCCTTGAGATATTGGGTGTAGACATTTGGTCTAAATCCTGAGATGTCTCAAGACTAAATCCCCTCCCCCAGCCTGAGCCGGTTAGAAGCAGCCCTGTTCCTCTTATGAAGGGCTACCGTGTCCTTCTTGTTTGAGGGGAAAAAAGCCTGAGATGAAATGCCACAAATGGAAACTATGGATTTCTTTGAGTGTGAGACTTTAGACAGTTTTCAAATAATTATGTTTTTTCTGATTCGCTGAACCTGTGTTGCATCTATATGTTAAAAAGAGTGATTTTTTGAAGGAAACATATTTGGACAATCTTAGCTTAAAAAAAACGAGGGGCTGGTGGTGGGGGGATGGGTGGCAATTCAAGCAGAAGACTCCGCGCAGGGGAGAGGGGCACCGAGGAGGTGCGGGGAGGTAGGATGGTCCAGTCTGGAGAGTCCGCGGGAATCCAGAAGCTATGACTGTGCGCGAGATCGCTACACGCGGAATACCCACCCCTCGGCGAAACGTCGACTGGAGTGCAGGTGACAGACATATCTCCCAAGTAGTCATGTGAGCAGAAAAGTCAAAATCCAGATAACAGCGCCCCTCTGTCCCGGGGTCCTACCGGGGAATCGTTTAGGTGCTTTGAATTCTGTTGGTTTCCCACATCAGAAGTGACCTGTTTATTTGATCTCATTTGATGCTTTAGCAAGAGTATTTAAGTCTTCGTCTGTGAAAGAAACTTCAGTCCCATTCATTCCTCCCTATCCTCAAGTGTCCCTGGTGTGGCTCCAGTGGCATCATCGGTTAGGACGGTACTTATAAGACAGTATGCTCGTGAGCAATGCCGAGGTTGTGAGTTCGAGCCTCATCTGGAGCAGATTTTACTTCCCTCAAGCCCCTATGCCTTCAAAGCCTGGTGAAAGGGGGAGTTATTTGGAGTTATTCACTGGAGTGGTTCCATCTCATGCAGGGCTTGCTCAAGACTTGCCTTAGAATTCTTTTCTTTCATCCCACTGCCTTCCTCCATCACTTCCACCTAGTGCTTGATTTAGTGCTAGGCAGTTGAAAAGTCAGTCGTTCATCATATTCAATTCCACAGAAAAGTGACTCTCAGAGTCTCAGGGCCAGCATGCAGGTAAATAGGAAAGTTAATAAAAAATTATCCTCGTGTCTTAACTCCAGGATACATGGGTGATTCTAATTTTAGAAAGTATTTTGGTGGACAATTTCCATTTCCTTGAACTGCTTTCCTTATCTCAGTTTCTTCATGCCTCTGGGATCACTCTTTTTTTTTTTCTAAAGAGTTATTTATTTATGTATACAAGAATTGGGGTACAGGCCAGAGGTGTGGGTGGCGGGGTGTGTGTGTTTGTGTGAAAAGATTCACCAGAGACAGGGTGGGGAACAGAATAGGCGGGTTGACTGAAATACACTGCTGCAGGGAGCAGCAGACGAGTCAGGAGAGGTCTGCTGTACGATGTGTGTACCTCCCTTGCCCGGGATCGAACTCGTGCGACAGTGGCTGAAGATAGTTTCATAGGTTGTGTCTTAACCCCTTGCACCACCAGGGAAGCCCTGGGATCACTCTTTTAAGTCCTTGATGTCAGTAATTATGACAAAGACACAAATGTTCAGTTTCAGAAAATAAATTGTCCCATGACAGCCTCCCAATTGAGAGGGAAGCCTGTATGAGGCAGTGTCATCTCACCTTCTGGATCTTAAGAGACATGAACACAGAGCTCTGGATTTTGCCTAATGCTTTTTCTCCATTTGCTGAGATAATCCCCTGGGGTTTTTTTTTTTTTAATACAAAGAGAATTTTTTTAAAATTTTATTTATTTATTTATACAAGCACTGGGTACAGTCAGAAGCGCAGGAGGGTGAGAGAATTCACCAGAGCCAGAGTGGGGAGCAGAGCAGGCAGAAGGACCGAAGCACACCACTGAGGGGAGCAGCGGGCAGCAGGAGAGGTCTGCGCACCATGTGGGACCCTCCTCCAGTGGCCGGGGAGCAGCCGGGGATTGAACCAGCGCTGCAGAGGCTAAGGGCAGCTTTGCAACCCAGTGCTCAACCGCTGCGCCACCGGGGAGGCCCTGGGTTTTGTTTTTTATTCTATTGTTGTTTCGTAGCACATTAATTATTTTGGGACGTTAAACCAACCTTGTATTCCTGGGATAAATCCGACTTGGCATGGTGTATCACCCTTTTTATATGTTGCCAGATTTTGTTAGTGTTTTATTGAGGATTTTTGCATCCATCTAGGAGGTCAGATTATATTTTTTCATAAGATGGTCACAGGGTCTCAAAGAGGGAAGTTGCAACAACACAGTGAAAGGCCCTTGCTGCTACGTCTATTGCACGTCTTGGTAAGTAAACTATCTCTATCACTAAGTGTTAATCTAAACTGGTACATGATAAACTTTGTTTTGAATGCACACTTACATGGTAGACAGCTCAGAGTGGAGTCAGGGAGTAACTAAACACTCCAAAATCTAACAGCAGCAGGGTAAGAACTGATAGTGCTGAGCAATTTTGCATAGGCCATGAGGAATCTTCTATAAAGTTGGAGAACTCTGTGTTCATTTTTTTAATTTATGCATACAAGAACTGGGGTACAGGCCAGAGGTGTGGGGGTGTGGGTGGGAAGATTCACCAGAAATAGTGGGGAACAGAATAAGCAGACTGACTGAAACAGGGGAGGTCTGCTGCGCCATGTAGGTAGCTCCCTGGGCTGCAGATAGCTTCACAGTGCTGTGCTTAACCCTTGTACCACCAGGGAGGCCCTCTGTGTTCATTTTGAATGATTTTTAATATCAGGTGGAATGATGCCTCTCATTTCTTCACTTAATGTCTTAGTTCATTGACCATTTCCAAATTAACTATCAATTTCCAAATAAAAATTAGAATTTTGATTGGAATTGCTTTGAATTTATAAATCAATTTGGGAGAAGTGGCAACTTTATAATATTGAGTATTTTTTCCATAGGCTTGTTTTATACATATATACTATATTCAACATTCAACATTCAATGTATTTATATATATTCTCTCAGTAAAACTTTAATTATGTCCATAGACATTGGACCTTAAACACAATTTCATTGATTTTATTACTAAATATTTCTTTTATGGAATTACTAAAAACTGCACATTCTATGCATTTATCCTGTGACAATCAATGTATCTTATTTCATTTTATAACTGCCTATTACTTGTAGATAGGAATACATTTGCCTCTTATTTATTTATTTGGCTCTACTATTTTAGAAGACTAATTATAACATCGAGGAAGAACAGAACAAAAGAGAATTATAGTACTAGCTCTCTAATTAGCAAAAATCTTGTAACACACTGAGTTAGTTCTCTTGGTCAGCTGGGGTTGCTCTAACAACATTCCACAACATGAGTTAAACAACAGGTATTTATTTCTCGGGTCAGGAGGCTGTGATCAGGGCGGCAGGATGCTTTCTGGCTTGCAGATGGATGCCTTGGATTTCATTTTGCTTGAAAGTACAAAATATGTTATCTAACAATTTGCAGTGAAACAACTTGCATTTAGGAAAAATCGCAGCTCCCACCTCGGAGGAAACTTCTTGAATCAAAAGCTGCGGCAGTAGACACAGAAAACAAAGGCAGGACTGGACTGAAGGAAGCTCAGCAAGTCAGGGAGGTTTCAGGTGCCAGAAATAACACTGAGTGCTGACCCAGGGACACAGGGGTCTCTACCCAAAGTGCACAAAGCAGATGATGACATCAGGGGTTTGAGAGGAGACATCAGCTCTGCAAATCGACTGGCAAGGAGGTAGGAGATAAAATTAAATGTACATCTTCAATTAAGAAAGAAAATGAGGTTATGTAGGTTTGCGGGGGACCAGGGCTGGGAACAAAGTGGTTACATTTTATTGGCCGAAAAGCCCAGACTTCAGACTTCATTAGAATGTGAATAGTTTTTTTTTTTTTTAAGATTGATTTGTTTATGCATACAAGAGCTGGGGTGCAAGCCAGAGATGCAGGGGGTGAGAAG